TGCTGAGGAGTGAAATTTCTAGCAGTACTTTGTGGCATCAGGGATCTCGCCAGCACTCTTTGCTCAATTTCTCAATATCTTGTTTTATTTACTTTATCAAAGGAGCTGCCTCCCCATATTAGAAAGCTTAGTAAAGTGCCACCTTCTGCTTGATTTACATTGCACAAAATGACTGTAATGTCTGGCAGGCGTGTCACATCCTTAAATTCAATGCAACACCACCACATACACAGCAGTTATTGAAACAGAAGAACGATGTCTCACAGCCGACACCATCAGTGATCAGAACTGCGTGCTGCTGACACCTACACCAGGATTCTGGAGCTGCTCAGCAGAGGTGCTCAGCCTTCCAGCAGGAATAGCCAGTGGTGTTGCCGTGAATCCATCCCAACCTGAGGCACCTCTGAACCACGCCAAAGACTTGGCCATGGCCTTGGAGCAGGGACCCACCACCACAGATGTGAGAAGACATGTTGCGTGGCCATGCCTGTTGTTTGGAAGGCCTGGCAGCAGGGAGCCGTGTGTGAAATGCTCTTTTAATACCCACCCCTGAAATTCCAGACGACTGCTGGTTGGGGCCATAAAAATGTCTTACTCCCACTCAAAACACCTCGGAAATGGGTCTGTGACTTGTAAATCCCCACACACCCTGGAGTGCCTGGCTGGCTCCTTGGCTTCAGCTATTACAGAGGAGCTTTAGTAGCCTAGCTGCCAAAATAGCCTTGAAACAAAACCATAATAAAAAGGAATCCTTTTTTATTCTATGTTGTTTACTGGATTCGAGGCTTTAGTGGTCTGTTACTTAAGCTTCCTGCCTCTGCAGCAGAACTGCTGGAAACTCTTCTGACACCGAGGTCCCCAGCTGCAGCAGCAGCCAGAGCAGCGTGTTTGGGCAGGCTTTGTTGGCAGGAATTCTCTCCGGTAAGGAAAGAAACAGGGAAACTGACTGGAAAAGGTGAAAAATAGCTTAGCCAACCAGATCTTGCTCCTGTTGCTATTTGGCTACGTTTTGCCAGCCAACATATTTGCTTTCCATATCCTGAAGTGTGGTTTTCTTCTTTGTTCTGCAGAGCACTTCTGAGAAAAAGATTTTGTTTTGTTTTGTTTTCCCAAGATACCAATTAACAAAACTTTTATTCTTCTTTTCGCATCGTTCCAAGTATTGTGATATGAGGGCTGTCCCAGGAAAAAGGGGACTCAGGAAGGAATGATGCAGCACTGTGTGTCTGAATATTAACCTGGAGCAGCCCTGTGGATGTAAAGTCAATCTAAACTGCTCAAGAGTTCATCTTTTCTAAGGGGGTGGCAAGATTGATGTCTGACAGTCAGACTGCACTGGGCAGTGTGAAGGATCTGAGCAACATGAACACTCATGACAACATGAGCCAACAGAATTGTACAAAACAAGCTTTGCATTGCCTTTATTCCAGGTTAGCATCACTAGGACCAGCAGCTGCTGGTGGCCTTCCTTCCTTACAAAGATAGCCATAGACTTTGATCCCAACAGAAGTTTTCTATCCAAGGATGTGGTGCAGAACTGATGGATACAGGGAGTGATGCAACTCGTTCTTCAGCCAGTGTTTTGCAGTTTCAAATGAGAAGGTCTATTCCCCTACCAACACATCAAAGGATTTCTTTGGCAAAAGATTTTTAATATCTGCCCAGAACCATGTAATTTCCAAGGGCTCTTATATAAAGCAAAGCAGAGAGAGCCCCTGGAGAGGGCTATTGGAGAATATCCGCACCAGCTTTTTCTAGGAGTGAGAAAGCTGTCCAATAATGGTTTAAATTCCAGGTTAATGGCAGAGCAAGTGTAATAGGTGCATCAGCTGGAAGCAGATCAGAGCACACAGATAAGCACTAAAGCCAGGGCCACACCACTGACCTGTAAAGAACCACAGGTGTTTTGCAACACTTTGAAAGTTTTCAGTACTTTCAACTCTTTGAAAGGGTAGGTAATAGCAGAACAAGGGGAAATGGTTTTAAGTTGTAGGAGGGAAGATATAGGTCGGATATCAGAGGGAAGTTCTTTACAGGGAGAGTGGTGAGGTGCTGGAACAGCTGCCCAGAGAGGCTGTGGATGCCCCATCCCTGGAGGTGTTCAAGGCCAGGTTGGATGGGGCCCTGGGCAGCCTGGTCTGGTATTGAATGTGGAGGTTGGTGGCCCTGCATGTGGCAGGGGGTTGGAGATTCATGATTCTTGAGGTCCCTTCCAACCCAAGTCATTCTGTGATTCTGTGAAACTGTTCTTATCTTTTTCTTTTTTTTTCTTTTCTTTTTTTTTTTTTTTTTTTAAGAGATGTTGGATCATCAACCTTGTAGCTGCATACTTTTCTGAATGAAGAGCAATAAAAGAACGAAATAGATGTCTAGTCTGTCTTCTACAGAGAGTCATGTAAAGAGCAAACAAGCATGCGGTTATTTCCTTGTTTATCCAAGTGGTTGGAACTCAGAGAGCAGTGTTTGTAGCTCGGCTTTTCGTCTACCCATTCTTTCCTTCAGTAACTGCAGTCCCATGAGGAAGTAGAAGATGAAGAAACTGTTAGTAGCAGCTGCAATTACAGGCTTTATCAGAGCACTCAAAATTATCACGCTGTTTAAAATGTTTTCCAGCAGACTAAGAGGGGTCTTGTGCTGCCCCACTGGGCTCTGGTATAGCTCCAGTAATTTCTGCTTAGAAGTAGAGATCTCCTATTTCAAAAATCTCCTGCATTTGAAAACGGATGAAGAAAGCACACCTCCGTGGTATCTAACAGTTACAAATTAGAATAAAGACATCAGGTGGGTTTCATGATATGTTTAGGCTCTAGAACATAGCATGCATCCATTTTCAAGCTTGGAATTGTAACTGGCAGCTGAAATTTAGCTCACTGGAAAGTAATTCTGCCTGCCTACCTCTTCCTGTTTTTGAAAGCTTCTGCTCAGAAGTGAAGTTCTGGTTTCATTCCCAGCTGTTCCAGGTTTCTTGCAGCTTTATCTACTGTAATTGCTAGCTATATGTCCCTTCAAAACCCACTTTCTTCTCCCAGGCTTCAGCCTTCCCAAGCTGCAGGTTTCCTCTCTGCAAATTAGAAAAGTAGTAATACAGGGACAATAACATGTGGAGCTCAGAGATTATTTGCTTGATTTATTGCATGGAAAATGACTTAGCACACATCAAATTCCAGCTTCTTCACTACCAAAGATGGATAGAGGAAAATGTTGGTAAATCCTTTGGCTAAATTAAAGTAAACACAAAGGGATGTGTTTTTGTGTAACTTTCCATTCGGCTCTTAAACTTCTTCACAGAGATGTATTATTTAAGTCTGGCAGTAATATATTAAGTATGAATATACTAATTCATGTATTGGCAATGTTTATAAACACTGCTTATGGCTGATTAATTTTATTGGAGCATGTAGGTCATTTTGCTCTTAATTAATGGTAGGAATTAGCAGATTAATACAGAAGTGCTTAAGATCCTCTGGTGCCAGGGCTAGCCTCTGTCAAATCTTGACCATAGTGAAAACAAAAGCTGAAATTGATCAACTCTTCTTTTGGTTTTGAGATATTTGCTTACATTTCCATTTCCACTGAACATGACCTGAAACACATGTCGAAGTGTGGCGATGAGGGTGACACTGTATAGCTCAGTTGGTGCTTTGAATTTGCATGAGTAGAGCTCAGAGCACACTGATATGTCGTGGATGCTTTGGTTTGTGGCCTAGGGACTCAAGGCCAGTTTGGCCAAGTGGGGTTGCTTTTCTTTTTCCCTTTCCAGCTTGGCATGACTTACTCCCACATGCTTCGCTTCCAGTAATTCAATATTTTGTTCCTTATTTTTGTTGTTTGTTATGTAACTAGAATATTTTCAAACATTTGCAAGGATTACGCCTGAATTATACACATTTTTGAGCAGTTTGGATTTAGTATGATTATACAATGTGATGTGATTAGACTTGTGGTTGTTCTGAATTATGCAGGCCTTTGGCAAGCAAACCTTGCAGGCATCCCAGCCTGTGCTAATTCTTAATTAAGCTCTATTTAATCTCAAATTAGGTTTACGTGAAATTGCTATTTATTTTTGTTTTGAACAGTTTTAAATGAGATGCAGATGTGGTGGTAGAGAAGCACTGAATCATTACATTTAAAGGGTGATGCTTTGCACCAGGCAGGTTCTGCACTGGGCATGTTTTCCTGACATTGAGATCAAGGTTTGGGATCCAAGCCTCAGATCTTCAGCATACAGTGCTGCCAACCCGTGCTTGTGCTCATACAGTTACTCATTATCTACTTTTCTGATCAAACAAATGCTAAACTTGACACTAACACAGAAAACTTCATTAGGAGCCCTAAAAATCCCAAGACTAGGACATGAGGTAGCATAAACAGAACAGACGGCAGGAGGTAGAACATAATTGCATCTTGTTTTTGTTAGTTAAAGATGAGCATGTGTGCGTCTTTTATGGCTTTGTTTTTGTGAGTAGCACAGAACAGGGGGCTCCTCTCTGCCTTGTGAAAATGAGTTGGTTATTGCATCCTCAGGCACCACGTCTGCATTTGAGAACATCAACATATTCTCATTCAGGTTCTGTTTATTGCCATAAATACTCCTTGAAGGAAGACTGCAGTCCCCGCTAAAAGCCACATCGGTCTTTAGCTGAGCAAGGGGCTCCAGTTAGACTGTAATTTCCTGCTGTATTTTTCTGTGGGATTTGGGTTCCTCCCTTTGAAAGTTTCAGCACAGGACCTTCCACTGTGGCTGTGCAGATACTGAGTGCCTTTTGATAGTGATGTACTAGGAGTGCTTCTAAGGGCTCTCTAGTCACAAGTTACTTAAATCTGTTCTCCTTGCCATGCAAGCAGACATGTCAGATCCCGTGTTATCCTTTCCAGCAGTAGCTATGGGTAAGGCAGCAGGCACTTAGGAGGTAGAACTGTGGGCTACAGACATGGGATGCTCTGATATAAGGAAGGAGACATTGCTACAGGGCATCATTTTTTCTTCTCTCTCCCATCAGGATCTCAGCTCTTTTGCCATGCCATTCTTGGACGGTGATGTGGAGAACGCAGACAAAAATGCTTCTCGCAAGGTAGGGTATTTCCAAACCTTCACCTTCATTGTAGTTGCTGAGTCCATCGGTGATAACCACAATTCCTTAGACTTGGAGAAGTCTCAGGCTTTTAACCTTTCCTGCCATTTACCCATTGAAAGCGATACTCTCAGGCAAACACTGTGACTTCTGCAGGCCTTATCATGACAGTGCTTAACGCTGTCACCTGTAAAGAACAGTAACCTCGGTTCCTTTAGATACTGCAGATGTGTTGTATAACACTGTAATTTGATGGAGTGATATTGGATTACTGTATTCTCAGGAAAACAGCTGCCAAAATGTGTGGTGTTGCTACAGAAGTGCGGTGCCTCGTCTTCCTGGCCTCATAATTTTCACAGAGCTTTGACATATGAGTTGATCTGCTAAACGTAGACCTCCTGCCAACCAAGTTACAGACTTGGTGACGAGAGATACCCTTCTGAACAACAGTAGATATCTCAAAAGCTGATCTGTAGCAACACAGCAGATTTGTGGCAATATTTACAAGGATATGGACCTTTCTGTAGGGAGGCCATTTGTCAGTGAGTCTGCAGTTATAGTTCAAGGCAGGTGAAACGATAAATATCTCCTTAGTGAAGCTAATCTGCATCTAGAATGATAATAATTTAACTCTGCTGACAGCATGCATCTCTATGCCTTTGCACCTCGTGGCAAAGGACAGTTGTTTTAAAAAAACTTCTGCAGTCCAGCAGTAACTGAATATGTTTATAACAGTGGCCTTGTCCTTTTCTGCGCTGGACCTTTTAGGACTGTGATGTAGGAGTCACTGACAAACACAGAGCAATTCTTGTAGATGCCAGGGAAGCTAAAATACAGTGTTACCAAAATGCTCTTGTTTGATGGGTCTGAATAAAGTGGCCAATATGATGACATGCTGAAAGAGTGCTGGTGTTCCTAACTGGAGCTTGATTTTTCCCAAGGAGAGGCGAAGAGGCTATATGAAGAAGAAGATATATCAAAGCCGATGTTGCTCATGTGTAATATTTTGTGATATTGTTAAACAATTTCAGTTTTACCATTTATGAACTCCTTGTTTTTTCTCTTACCAGTCTTGGAACAGTTTTTTCATGAGCGGTTTTCTTGGGAAAAACTGGAAGAGCATTGGATTAGTCACCCCCTTTTGCAATTTCATAGAATCATAGAATCATAGAATGGCTTGGGTTGGAAGGGACCTCAAGGATCATCAAGCTCCAATCCCTTGCCATATGCAGGGCTACCAACCTCCATATCCAGTGCTAGACCAGTCTGCCCAGGGCCCCATCCAACTTGGCCTTGAACATCTCCAAGGATGGGGCACCCACAACCTCTCTGGGCAACCTGTGCCAGCACCTTTCCACTCACTTTGTGAGGAACTTTCCCTTGACATTGAATCTAAACCTTCCCATCTTGAGATTAAAACCATTCCCTCAGTGTTTTTTATGAATACTGTTTATTTTCCCCAAAACTTGGGTCAAGTTCTGCATGTGGGAGTGTGGATTTTGGAATAACAGTGCAGCCAGGCTCTATATCCAAAATGGTTTATTTACCTGACATGTAAGGCCTTTTACCATTTTGTTGCATGTGTTGAACAGAACTCACTGTCAGACCAGCTGACAGTGCCCAACTTCCAATCAGGAACAAATCATCAAATAAAATGTATTGCAGCTCATCCTAAATAGCATTTTTCTCCTTAATGCAAAGGATGGGATCTTTGTAGTTAGTAACTGGTGGCCACCATCAGATTGCAGTATCTTATTTAATTTAAACTCAAAGTTTTCCAGGTCCTGCTGGTGCAATATAAAGAAGTTCCCAATTTTTACTGTTCTCCTTCATGTAAAATGGGTTTCCTTTGTCCAAGTCTGAAATCACAAAGTGTTGTGTACCTTTTGTACACCGTAAGTCAGTATTTCATCAGCAGCATGGCTTTTCCATTCACCAGTAGTGTTGGAGACTGGCGATTAATCAGGGACATCTCTCTTCCTTCGCTGAACTCTTCTGTCAGCTGGGCTATATGTCAAGTCAGAGAAGAGTAGCTCACAGCCTGCCTTTCTGATCTGCCATTAATTTAGTACCACTGATCTTTGTGAAAACCTTTTAGAAATTGTATTAACATTTTTCACAAGGATTCTCAGCACTTCAGTGTGTGAGTGCCTCTCAATCATTATCCTGTGACAGTAATCCTCACTTTGCAGCCAGGAAACTGAAGTGCGGAATTACTTGTTCAGATTCACATAGGAATTTTTTGACAGAGGTGGGAATGTGTCACATATTTCCTGAAGCTCAGCCTTAATCACTTCTCACTGGCATGGCTATTATTATAACCGATGTATTTTTCTTTCCTTTATGACCTGAAGGAAGGAGGGGGGCAGTGGTGGTTTTGACCTTCCTCTGTTGAAGGCAAGGTGTAATACTCTGCCGGCTCTCGCACGGAATGGTTGGCACAATGTGATGCAGCACAGTAGCTCTTGTGTCAGCTGCAGGTACTCTGATGCTTCTCGTTGCCTCACAAAGAGCTTTAATACTTGTGGTGGCTTTGTCTAGAGTAACTGGTATTGCTGATTGCCCCGTATTCAAACTGAGACTCTCCAGAAATGGCATGAATCCTTGAAGGAGGAATGGCCTCACAGGATCATTATAAGACATTTGTCATAAGCTATAGATGGAAGCTTGAAAAAGAAATATGCATTGACTGTTCTCTGCATGTGAAGAAGTGGGTGAGGTGTTTATCTTATGTGATAATGGCAGCTCTATCTCATAAAATGACTTAAGTGTGTGTAAGATGGAACATGCTACAGCTAAACCCAAACAACTCTGATAAAACAGCTCTGAAGGGATTGGCAGAGCTTTCTGTGACCAACTAGTGCTAATTTTGAATAAACTTTGGAGCAGAGATGAGGTTGCAAAAGACTGGAAAAAAGCAATTATTTTGTTAATATTTACAATATCTGCAATTAGGATAATTTGCAGATTTGTCAGCGTGACATTACTCCTGGGTATAACAGTGAGATATCTAATGTTGAATAGTTAATGATGCTATTATAGTAGACTCATTTTGATTGGAATTAATGGCAAACAGTTCTTAGTGAGCAAATTTGGGTTTTCAAGGAGATTATAAATTTGGTTGGAAAATGTAATGGTGTTGGTGTCATGTATATAAAAAAGAAGCACAGACACTTAGATTTAAGAAAGTGGAATGATGCTGAACAGACCTGGGAGCCTATGAATTGAGTAAAGCCTGGATGATTAAATGAGTTGGGATTCATCAGTGGAAAATTTTGTTTCTAAACAGGGAAAACATACTGTTGTTATACTGTATAATACTTTATCAGGGACTTGAAAGAACTACAGGCTCATTACTGATACAGTGTGCAGTTCTTACAAAAACGAGGGGGGAGAAAGTAATACATTCTGAGCAGGAAACTCTTGAGTGCAAAATGCCCTGAGTCACTAAAACACATTTTGCAAGTGGTTCAAACGGAGCAGTTGCACCTGGGAGCAGACCAGGTTGTTTGGAAAGTCTGCCACAAAGCTTGGTTAGATTTTGAGAATAGCTGTCGATAATCAGCTCTATGTGGATTCTGGATGTGACGCAGTGGCTGAAGGATTACTTTGTTTTTTGGATGTGCAAACAAAGGAATAGGGCAAAACATAGGCTTTGTTATGACTGCATTTGTCATCATCCCACAGTTCTGCTGCCAGTAATGCAGGACGATGCTGATGGGCTCAGGCGAGCACTTTGTCCTGGTTCTGCTCCCAGCATTGTTTTTGTTTTGTGCAGTGACTCATAAACGGTGGAACAGGGAGAAGAAGCAAAAAATACCCCATTTTTACCCCCTTTCTCCTTCGCTGGATAACAAGTCTCCTTTTGATCTCTTTTTTCTCAGCCTTTAATTATCCGTTTCTTTGTGATCAGTGAGCTGGCCTCAGCAGGAAGGACAGGCAGCGTGTCCCAAGCGGACGTGGGGCACTGGCAGTGGATGCAGTGAGGCTCAGAATGAGGACATAAGTGACAACTGCTGCACGGCCCTTCACTGCTTTGCCACAAACACTTTGTGTTAGGAAATGGAGCCTGGAGCCATCCTGCTCTCACCTGGAGCCAGACCTGCTCTTCCCTCCCTGCCCTGCTCCTACCTTTGAGCAGGCCTGCTTGCTGTGGGAAACCTAATCCCAACCCTACAGCCATGCCAGGCACTCTGAGCCTGCCAGATCAGCCAGCCGCATCCCATTGTATTTTAATTTGGGAAGTGTCACTGGGCTTTAATTTTGGGAAGTGACATCTCTGATCCTGTAAAACACGTTGTCATATCAATTGTTTTTGCTCATGCAGATCCGAGGGAACTAATGGGGGTGAATGTAACCACATGGTGCCCAAGAGAGTAAGTCCTTCATTACCTTTTGGTCTAACAAAGTCAGCTCTTGTGATTCTGTGAGCTCTTTTATTCCACCGTAATAAGGGAATCATCCAATTAAGTTTATTAAAGGGCTTCTTTGTTGAGATTCAGCACAAGGGCAAGAAATAAGTGCAGACATCTATCTCGTGTGTCGTCCTTAATTGTGCTTACTGTCCCTGACAAGGGAGGTGGAAGGCGATTTTTGCTTTCTGGATTTTTCTAAGCAAAGAAGCAAAATTAATGTGAAATAAATCACTGCTGTAAAAGCATAAAAAACTCAAATGCTTCATAAGTGTCCTAACTACTTAGAGCTGGAGAAAAAGGAGCAGAGCTCAGTAGCATTTAATAACTTTCATATAAATTCAGAAGCATTTTGAGGCTTTCAGACAGTTTAGCTTGAGCCCATTGACATTCCAGACAGGTTTTAATTTGGTCTGTTCTGAAAGTGAATCTAAATTCCCCAGCAACTGAATCAGAGATGGAGATTTTTCAGGGATCCTGAGCTGCGTAAGTCCCATGGCAGACAGGAAGGGATCACTGCAGGAGTTGGTCAGGACAAACAGGAAAGATGGCACATCCAAGGAGAGGAGAATTTGTCCAAATTTGGAAGAAAAGCGGAAATCCAAGGAAGTGCCTTATCTTCGTGTTTCCTGAAGCAGGTAATGAAGGAATCCTCTGAAGAAGGCTGTGTGCCTATGAAAAGGCCTGGGGAGCTGGCTGCAGTGAGGTGCTGCAAGGCACAAGGACAGAAGCAGGGTTCCCTGGCTCTGGCCCAGTCCACCTATTTGTGGTTGGTCTTCTCAGCACAGCTCATTTATTTTTCTGTCCACGTCTCTTTGTCAGGACTCTTCTCTTCCTTGCAGTTAAGAAGTCCTTAAATTTTAAGTTGTCAGCACAGATGCCTTCTTATAGAAGGCTACACTTGGCAAAACAGAAGAGGGATTGGATTTTCCATACAAAGCATGGGAAAGAAAAGGGCAGTGTGGAGAAGATTTGTGTGTGTGAGTGAGAAGAGGCAGGACTGAGATGGATTTTGTGTGGGTGACGAGAGAATGGTTTGCAGTGAAGTGTGAATAGTTTGGTCTCAGTTCACTGCAGTGGGGATTACCATATGGTTGTGATTAAACGTGATGCGACTTGCAATTCTTCATCTTGCAAGCAAGTTAGGTGAGAAAACAGTTGAAGTTTTCTCACAGTTTGAAGAAGGGAAATATGCCAGGCTGTTGTCAAAAAGAAGACTGTTGGGTGGAGGGACAGGAAAATCTGGGTGATCTTCAGGACAGGTAATTCTTAACAGCACAAGATACGTGGTTGTTCACCTGGAATACATCTGGAGTAGCAGCATGTAGGAGAGGTTAAGGGTTGTGGTCCAGGATGGGCTTAGGCACAGTCCTGCTGTAGAGTCAGATTCTCATACCCACTGAAGCAGAGTGGCCATGTGCAGTCTGGCTTATGCTGGGATTTTGTCATTGAGGAGTACATTGAAAAAGACAATGAGAAATGAAGATGCAGATCTGCTGGTCCATCAGTGGAAGGCTCTGAGCCATTGATGTGCATTGCTGTGAGAAATGAAGAGGAGGTTAGGGAGAGAGCCATGCACCCAGGTGAGATGACCAAGAAGCTATGAAGATGCTGCTTCCTGAGATGGAATCTTCCAGGGCTGTCCAGCTCAGGCAGGTGCCAAGCTATCACTTTACATTTTACTCAGGAAATTGAAAGCACGTCTTCTAGATATAAAGGAGTCCAAGGCAACTCTCGTTTTATTGCTTTATTTTCAACAGCAGCCAGTTCTAGATACATTTTAGGAGCCTGACGAAGATCATTCAGTTTGTAAAACAGAGCAGTTTCTCCCTGGTCCCCAGCTGAGGATCCTTTTGTGCTCCAGAGATGGCAGCCTTGCAGCATTTTTGTCTATGTTTACTCAGCGCTATGTAAGGTAACTGGGTTAACCTTGAACAACCAAAGCAGCTCATATAATGTGCTGTGGGTGTCTGCTTGGCTGCCCAGCCTCCCTGGGGAACGGATTGACATAGGTAGGGTTGCACTTGCACTCATGTGTTCTTTTATTACACTCCTGCTGATGTAGCTTTATTCCAGCACCTCCATTCCCTGCAGACCTGTGCTCAGAAGTTGACTTTTCCTTGTGCCCATCTGTCTGTGATAGCTTCAGGGAATGAACTCAAAACACGTGAAGAACAGGCTGATGATCCATCCAGCTGTGCAGCCTTCCTCCAGCACTCCTGCAGGAGTCATTGTGCAGATGCTGCATGGGTTGCTACAGTTTATTCCACGGCAGAGATTCTTCTGCATTCCCAGCTGATGCATGGACATCAATCATCTTTTAAAACTCACAACCATTGGCTTCAATTAAGATTCCAAGAAAGAAATACTGATATAATTCCCAAAGCAAAATCATAGGTATTTATCCTCTTTGTCGGTGGGTGTAACCTGTGTGTAATTAATGTGTGGAACAGCTGGAGAAGAATTTGTTGTAGTAATTTCCTTTAATTTAGTAGCATGCACATGTGTATTCAGTAGCATGCCCCTGGTGCTCTAGCAATTAACTAATTCATCTGCCTGGCACGATAGAGAGAAAGTAGCGGGTTGTGATTGCAGTAAAAGAAAACATCCTGCTGCTTCTGCTCAGAATTGGAGAACGATTTGCTCCATATCTGGCTTGTGCGTGCAGGAGAACACTGATGTTATTTGGCAGATTGTTTCTTGAGGATGTGAGGATAGCATGGACTTTTGAAGGGTCTCCTAGTGGTGTTTTGTAATTACCAAGTAAGCATGCAAAAAAAGATGCATGAGATATTAAAGGTGGCACCAGAAGGACGTCCTTCTCTTAGCTTTACAACTTCCATGGCGTGTCAGTTTAGGAAAAAATGATAGACCTGGTTGCATTGCAGTGAGTGGAGATGCTGCTGCACTGCACGGTTGTTTCCTGGACTACATAGCTGGGCAGAGAACACTGTGTAGGTAGTCTCAGGTGATCTACAGATGCTGTTTAATAAAGTTAATGAGCTTTCATGAAGAAGTTATCTTTTGGGGGCTATTTACCCTTAACAAAAGTGGAGTTTATTAATTTATTTATAGTCTGTTAATTATTCCAGGTCTCACTTGAGGGACTGTGCTCGATTCTTCTTGACTCACTGTGAGATGGTGTCTGTGCCAGAGGACGTGGAGTGGCACTGAAGGAGATTTGCAAGCCAAAGTGACCTGTGTTTCATTATATTGATCCCAACCCCTGCAAATTAAGACTCAGAATGGAGTCGAGGCATTGACTGAGCAAGAGGGTGTCTTTATTTATTAAAAAACAGGAGAGTGAGAGTGGAAAAAAAAAAGAGAAGAAAAGGAGACACTGTATTTTCTTCCCTGATGACAACTGTCAAGAGTCTGTTGTTGTTTCTGGTACCCAGTGTTTTAGTTAGAATTGATTTAACCTTTCCAAAAATTTCCCCTCGAGGGCGACTAGTCCTATAGTCCTTCTGCAAAGGCAAAGGTAGTAAGAAATAAATGTGCAGAGATGAAAAGCAGTTGAGTGTCTTGCCAGACGTCTCCATGCTCCAGCTGCTGACCCTGGCTGCTGGTGTCCATCTCTCAGACCAAATGCCACCAGCCTTTCAGGTTGGAAATTTTCCCAAGTGAGGAACCACTGCAGGCCCTTCTGTGGTTTCCACAGAGCAAGACCCAGCCCAGCTTTCATCTTTTCTTTCATCTTTGGGCCATGAATATGATCAAGAGGCTGAAGCACCTCTCCTACAAGGAAAGGCTGAGGGAACTGGGCTTGTTTAGCTTGCAGAAGAGAAGACCTCATTGCAGCCTTCCTGTGCTTGAGGGGAGCTTACAGACAGGAGGAGGTGACTTTTTACATGGGACAAAGGGGAATGGCATTAAACTAACAGAGGAAACATTTTGGTTAGATGTAAGGAAGAAATATTTTACTCAGAGAGTGGTGAGGCACTGGCACGGGCTGTCGAGAGAGCTGTGGATGCCCCATTCCTGGAGGTGCTCAAGGCCAGGTTAAATGGGGCACTGGGCAGCCTGGTCCCATGGAGGGCAGCCAACCCACCGCATGGAGTTTGGAATTTGATGATCTTTGAGGTGTCTTCCAACCTAAGGCATTCTATGATTCTGTGATACTAACAAATATATTATTTTCCCTACCATTCCTCCCATGGCAGCAACACACCCAGCTTCACTGACATACAATGTGCACCTTGCAGACAGCAGTTGTTTAATGCTCCATACATACATGCATCCCTTTTGCTTTGCATATCGGGAGCGAGGAGCAAGTATGCAAAAGATTCAAACCCCATCAACCTCATGCAGAAGGCAGCGTGCTGTGCCCATGGCCTTTGATTCCACTTTCACTAAGACCTGAAACCCACTGTCACTGATCCCCAGGAACAGGACTCTTAATTAATGACCCCAGCTAAAAAAAAAGCTTTGTGCCCATAAAAGTATTTTGTGCATCCAGGAAGAAATAAACTCTGCATATAGCTCAGGCCTGGGCACACAGCAGTTTGTGTAGGCTTCTGTTAATTGTATGTGGGAAGAAATTCATCTTTGCTTCTTTTATTGGTTTGTTTTTCTGGGCTTTTCCCCTTCACCTCTCTAGATGAGCCTGCACGGTGCAGTGCTGTGTTGTGTGTATATTCATGCTAGCTGGAAAACCAGCACAGGTCAATGAAGAGACAGAGCTGTTAGAAAGGTCGTGCCCAAGCTGGAGGCTGGGCTAATTATCTGTAACACTGCCACTCTAGAATGATTGCTCTATTCTGGGACTAGAGTTAAACCCCCATGGCAGTGTCTGGCGCTGAGAACTCATGCTCTCTGCTGAGCCTCATTGCGCAGTAGAGATTTCTACAGAGTACTACAGATGGGTGCTTAAATGCAGAATGGAGGCTTCAGGTTGCTGTGTTAGCTTAAAGGAGGTCATTCATTGCTCGTAATAAATTTATTGCCACCCACCTTTCGGTTTTCTAGGGAAGGTAAGGGAATGTGCAGCAAATAAATCTGGTAAAAAATATCCCGCAGTGTATGTGTGATAATAAAGTTCATGCACATAGGTTAAAATTTTTGTGAAATTCAAGACATCTTTAACAGCAGTGAGCCCAGTGAGGTGGCACAAAACACACATCTACATAGCAGTGCAGGCTGAGGGTGGGAAGGTCTGGCTAACACACAGCTGGAATAAACAGGAGTGACCATGTTGAGACAAGCTCTGCGATCTTAATGGCACAAACTGAACTGAAATAATGGTGATTTCTCTTTCTCTTCTTTTTTCTCTCCTCCTCAGGTGGACGAAAGCTACTCTGCAGGCAGTCCTTCGAAAGGCATTTTCTCAAAAGGGCTCCAGAACCGACCTTCCAGCCCTGTTTCTGCCCCTGTGAGATCCAAACACAGCCCTGGCTCACCCAAAACAGTCTTCCCCTTCCCCTACCAGGAGTCTCCCCCACGCTCCCCACGTCGAATGAGCTTCAGTGGGATCTTCAGGTCCTCCTCCAAAGAGTCCTCCCCCAATTCTAACCCGTCTACCTCTCCTGGGGGCATCAAGTTTTTCTCCAGATCAAGAAAAAGTAAGAAATTGCTCATGTTATTTCAGGAAGATACACAGTACCTCTGGGCTTGGCCCATTCTTTACCTGCGGTAGTGAAGTAAGTGCAGAAGAGGCATGTGCTAATTGTTCGTTATCGCTTTCACTGTGTTTGGGGGTTTTGTCTGGCAAGTAGGGAATGACTTTTCCAGGACACCTATAATGGCTGAGGAGGGAAATCATGCATCAGAGTGTTGCTTAGAAATCCTGCTGCTGTGGCACAGGCAGTGTCCACGCAGTTTCATCGAGGCTGGTTGGACATCAGCTCCCAGGCTCAAGAGGAGCGGGAGCAGTCATGGGGCCTGGGGTGGAGATGGGCACGGAAAGGATGTTGCCTTGGGAGCTCAGGGAGGTTTGCTTGGGTAGACTCCATAGAGAATTGTCTCGTTTTTGGGTGAAAAAGAGGCCTTGACTCGATGGTTATAAATGATACGTTTACAATCAAATGACCACTAAGAGAGTGTTTGGGCTACTCTGCTAGAATATGAAATCATATGAAAACTGCTCTGACCTCCTTGGTTCAGAGCAGTTGCCTGCTTTGTATTAGGAACAAATTTGGCTTCTTCAACAGCCCGTGTGCTAATACAACATTTCTACAACTCAGAAATGAGGAGAGCTGAGAAAAGGCTTCGATTTCAATACTTTCTTGTTGAATGAAGATTCCCAGCGCCAATCTACAAAGGGTTGTGGTTGCTCTGCCTTGGGGACAGTAGCTGTAGGAGGAGGATTTGGTTATAGGGGAAAGAGAGGAATGACTTTGTGCCACTGAGGTTGTTGGTGTGTCAGAACACAGTGTGTTTTCCTTCCTGGGAACAGAAGAAATAGCTTAAAGGTAATTTTTTGGCAAACCTTCTGAAACAACGTAGATACAGAGTTAATGATGCACATACCCAAGTTTGACTGAGTGTTTACTGCAATGTATTGATAGCTTTCTGTGACTTACAAACTGTGAAGAGGCACTTCCTTTTTCTTCAGCAAAATTCCTCTTTAAAATGTAGGTTTTAATCAGAACAAATCATTTTTTCATTACTTTTGTGTGCACTGACACAGCTATACAAACCTGTAGTGGATTTTTCTTTTAGTTGACCAGAAGTTCTGCTGCAGCTTAGTTGAGATTGCATCTGTCCCAGTCTTTGCCTCTCTCTGGAGCACCATTAGCAGACTGAAAGAGCCAATGTTTCTGGAGGACTCCGAGTGGACTGCAGGCATCATTTCTGCTCAAGGACATTTTTTCTCCTCTATTAAAAGTTCAAACCTGCTTTTATGCACCTCTCTGTTTCAAGCCTCATAGTAATTAAAGTCCATTTGAGCTCTTTTTGCTAGTCTAGATAGGCTTAAATGCTGCACAGGCAATAAGCTGCTGATGCAATGCACCAAGAAAAGCTCTCTGCTGCACGAATAACAGTGAGACACAGCGCACAGCAAAGCCATCCTGTGACATTTTAAAAAAGTAATCCCATCAAATAGCACCATTTAAAATTTTTCCTAGCTAGGTACATCGGAATATTAAATAAAGGAATCTTTTCAGTAGTCAGCAAAATCCTTTTGATAAGGTCACATCACAGGAACAGGCTTGGAATGGGGCCATGCTATTTTTGAGCTGGCGGAAGATCCCCATGACCCTGCTGCTCCAGGGAGGGTCGCAGGAGCTGTGCTGGGTTTGGCTGGGTTTTGTTGTTAAGGCAGAAGGAACTGCCTCCTGTGAGGGTGTGATGGTTGAACTGTGTATAAAAACAATAACTTGCCCCATTCTGCAGCTTTTTGAAGATCAGCATTTCATACCAGGTGCTTTCACATAGTTCAGCTCGCTAATGGCAAGGCTCGTGCAGACACATGTGCCTCACTGTCACATTAAAGCAGGTTTTATTCACACTGTGCTTAACACTGGTTGGTGATGAATTGCACTCTTAGGATTTACCGTATTTGATTGATTTGACTTCACGAAATGTATGAAAGTTAACATTTCTGTTGCGTTGTTTAGTTTTTCACAGACCAAACTTTTACATCCTGCTACTTTGCAAAGAAAGAATAACCCTATGTATTATGAAACACTAGCTTAATTGGTTAAGTCCCACTCAAAACAGAGTCTCTGTATCCTTCACACCATTTTCTGAGTGACAAGAGTTCTCAGTGACTCCTCAGCTCAGAGACCTCAGATCTGTGCAGATGCTGTGCTGCAGAGCTCTAAGAGCTAACGCAACACATGGCTACATGTTTCCCAAGGTATTTGAATGCTTCTGTGATCAAAATTGTCACATCCTTTGTGATTAAAATCCCATTTTCTCAAGCAGCTTGGGATAGCTGTGTTAAAAGTGAATGGGGCTTAGGCTGCTTTATTTCTTTGGAAAATGACAGCGTGCTGAAATCACATGGGCTTGCTGTTCTTGCCTGCCCTTGCAGCCGATCAGCTCTTGGCACTGTGTTAGCACTATTAAAATGAAAATTACTTGCATGCTGGGCTGCGTTAGCAGGAGCATTGTCAGCTGGCTGAGGGAGGTGATTCCCTTTTGCTTAATGCTGCAATGCTGGCTCCAGCACTTGGCTCCACTGTATGAGAGGCAGGGATGTACTGGAGTGAGCCCAGTGAAGGACACTGGGTTGGTTGGGGCTGGAGCACAGAGCTAAGGAGAAAAAGAAGACATTTTCTTTTCATTAGTTAACTAATGAGGGGCTATGGAGATGGCAGAGCTGGGCATCTCAGGAGCTCACAATGAAGGGACAGGAGGCAGCAAGGGCAGCTGCAGGCAGACATTAATAAAAATGTTCTTGGGGGGGGAAGGGGGGTGACATAGCATCAGAGCAGGGGACCATAGAGATGCCTTACAGCAAATCTGCACTTTATCCAGGCAATCTACAATTGAAAACAGCACCGGGCTGAAGTCCACAAGGTTAGTAAGGATTTTTTCCCCAGCTTTACCTGAGTTGAATCCATTCTACACCCCTTTTGCCTGTCATCTTGGAGCAGTATGTGTGGGAAGTGTATGCCATCTCTGCTGTAAATAACATCCCCCATCTTTCCTCTGCCTTGTTCAAAACACACACTAACCTGTTACTCTGCGTATTCCTTGTTTTTCTTGGAAGCAACCTCTTCCTAGCTTGTTTTCATTTCAAAGACTGTGTGTAGCATTTGCAGTGTTTTCTTTCCCGTGTAGCTGTTCTTTTCCCAGTGAAGGTATTTTGCCATTCGAAGATACACAGTTTACATGAACTGTTTGGGTAGGGCAAAGTTAAACCAAAAAGTGATCTGCAGACACGAGTTAAAACATTTTCCAGTTTGATGTAAGGGGTTTAATGCAGTTTTTAATATTTTATTTTGTGTTTTGTTGATAGCCTAAAGCTCATCTTTTGGGTCTTTTCCTTTCGATTTACCCCACTTCAGCATCCAGCCATAACCCCTTGCCCTGACCTCAAAATCTATTTGCCTCAAAAGGAAAGATGCCTTCCTGCAAAATGAACTGCTAGATGTTTGCAGAGAAAGCTTTATAAGAGCAAACTGGGGGGACCAGTGTCCCACCTTGAAAAGCAGCAGATGCTGCAGCCACCGTGTTCCCTCCTGGCAATGGGCTCCATGTGATCCTTACTGGGAGGGTGTGTGCACATCCCAAAGCCACACGTGTTCTGAAGGCAGAGGTTACATGTGGGAGGTGAGGAGCTCACTATCTGGCATTGACTGCTGCTGAAAGTGTGGGCAAGCGAGCAGCCATGGAATGCTGAGCAATTGCATTCTGATTATTTGTAGATGATAAGAAAAAAATGAGCAAAGAAGAATTTTCTAATTTTAGAAGAGCACGTGTGAGGTGTAGCTGTCACAGAGCTAACAGCAGCTCACCACAGACAAGAACAAAGAGCAAATATATGGGTGCGTGTTCAAGTCTGAAGTGCTGTGAAAAGTAACTCCACAACATTGGTGTTGTGGAACTGCTGTCCAACTTGTCGTGGGCTTGCGAGGACGCTGCATTATTGGCTCACAGGACAAGGAATGGTTTTAAACTGAAGGAGGGGAGATCTAGATTGGATGTCAGAGGGAAGTTCTTTACAGAGAGAGTGGTGAGGTGCTGGAACAGCTGCCCAGAGAGGCTGTGGATGCCCCGTCCCTGGGCAAGGTTCAAGGCCAGGTTGGATGGGGCACTGGGCAGCCTGGTCTAGCATTAGATATGGAGGTTGGTGGCCCTGCATGTGGCAGGGGGTTGGAGATTCATCATCCTTGAGGTCCCTTCCAACCCAAGCCATTCTATGACAAACAGGGCCCTGTGCTCCAAAGCATTACTGAGTCTTGGCTGTTTAAGCTCTGCTAGCTGTGAGTGCACACCCCGAAAGAGAATGCATCTGGTCTCTGGGTGAGTTTGCATGAGTAGGTATAAAGCTCAGAGCAACAAGAAATGGCACAAGTTTTCTCTCAGTAGTGCAAACTATGGTGATCTGAAGAAAATGTGGGAGGATGGTCTGCACTGCAAGGAAACACAATTCAAATTTCATTCTTCCGTGGTTTTGCATGAGTTTTTGCTTCAGAAACAGTATGTTCTCACGTCAGAAACAAGACATACAAATGAAAGAGGAGAGCATTCTTTCACTGAGTGAAAACTAGGCAGCTATCCCTGTAGACATATTAACGTCAAGTACAGTGAACATTTTATTAAAAGCACATGGGTGTAGGAAATTTAAGTTATTAGAAATTGAACTTTCTACCAAGGGCTGAACGCTGTCTCTGAAAGGCAGCAGGGCATTTCCAGACCTGTTTCCCCTTCCAAAAATACCAAGGTGATAGCAGTAATCACAACACATCGGTGGTGCTGCCAATTTTGCCAGCAAAGGAAATCAATTAAAAGGTTTCCGTTGACCTAAAGCTTTGGGCTGTGATGGACAGAATCAAAACATAAATTAGCTCAGGATTAAAGGTTGTTTAACGAATGCTGTATCTAAAATTACACAGCTTTCCAACACCTTGAAGCTGGTGGTCAGATTTGCGTAAAGGTGAACTTGTAC